CCGGCTTCACCCCTGCATTATTATAAGCTCAAATTTAATTATTTTAAATAAATGTGTGAGTTGTAAGTATTCATTAAGTCATTTCAGCATATGTAAAGAACCATGAATAAGAATAAGAAAAGCTTTTCAAGGTTTATCGTAACACACAAGCTATAATATAATTGAGAAATTTCATGTGACTCTGTATCATGTGACTAGCTATTCTTTTCACATAGAATAATTCAGAATAAATATTGAAGGATATCAATTTGTTCCATGAGTTCTTTTGCAATAAATGTTTGACGTTTAAATTTGTGTAAATTAGTAGTTTAAATGTATGTGTCGGCATTTTAATGGGATAATTTTTTATTGATTTGATTGCTTGTTATATGACGTGAAAGAAAAACGGATTTCAAATTGTAAAAAACTCGACATACTTCCAGGAATTTTGAAATTTTTATAATACCGCACTACAAAAGTAAACAAATTCGCTTACCTAAAATCAAAAATTATCCATATAAACTTTTGAATCCAATATTCGATTATATGTTTTTTTTTTCATTCACATAAATTATTCAACAATCAAGGAAGGCACAACCAAACGTATTATATGCAACTTTTATTCTGAAATATTTATTACCAACAATCTTATTCGATTTATCAAAAACTAGGTTTTTTAATGAATTTCAATATATGTAATTTCATTTATGCACATTTACACCACTCTATATCCATATTTATTTCTGGTCTATCATTCGTTCACGGTGAAGAATTTTTAATTTATTGCAACAATTTCAAGCAATTTAGTAAAAAAATGCACTTTAAAATAAACGTGATCGTATTTGAATATCAAAAAAAAGTTGTGTTGAATATTCCTTCTTTTTAACAGTTCACAAAAGAAAGCACAAATTTATGTACACATAGAATAGTCTCTATTTGATTACTATCCTTTTTAGTTTTTTTTTTGCTTTTTTCACATTTCTACATTTGTTCCTTCTGACTCCTCTGTGATAATTTTATATGAATATTTTTGTTAAATTCAGGAGGATTCAAAATTATTGGATTTCCTTGAAATGTTTTTAAGGTAATTTTTGCCAGATGTTCAGGACTATTTGGAACTAGACAATTTTAATTAAATTTGATATCTAAGACACTTTTTTTCTGTAAACAAAAGTTAAGTCTGTCAAAAGCTTTGATTGGAACCAAATACAATTTTTAAATATTCCATACTTTATCAAAAATTGTCTGACAAACTTTTCTCAATGGCTTTTATTTTATTCCATTTTTTTTCCTTTAATTTAAGCACAAAAAACACACACACACACATCTACACATCCACACACACACATTTATATTCACTGAGTGAGAGAATTTGTATGCTTTTGTAAATTAATTAAAATTGATTTTTCACATTTCTTTTTTTCTTTTGCTTTTTCCGTGTGAAGCTGAAACGAGTGTGGATATTTTTAGTTTCTTTCTTTCCTTTCCTCCTACTACAAACTGCCGTTTTTTTATTATTATTTTTTATTATTATTGCTTTAATTTTTTTCTGTCTGTGTAGATATTTTATTTTGTGTACAGTTCTTATTTTATTATATTTTTTATGCTGTGTTGTTATTTTCTACTTTTGAAGAAAAAAAAATCTTTAAGCTTCAAATACGAACTACCATTCACTACGGTAGTTTATTTCACAATGAAATTCTCCCCGCAATGTGAATGTGAGCGAATGAGCGGATTGAATGAAAGTATACGGAACATGGAAATGGAGAAGGAAAAAATACAGCAGCAAGCAAAATTCATGCATGTATGTGTGGGTATAGGTCGAAATTGCTTGCTTATTTTTCTGTGCTTTGCCTCAAAATATTTTCGAAATGGGAGAAAAAAATTTGAATTGAGTAAAAGTTTTGCTTTTGCTTCTTTTTTTTGGTGGGAAGAAAAAGGCACAAAAGTTCTCTATGCTTTTGGTGGAAATAAAACTATTTCTACGGTTGGAAAAAGCTCTCTTTTTACTACCACACTCGAGCGTACATAAATGTACATGTAAAATGAAAAATTTTTTTTTGCTCATCTCTTCTGCCTCATCTATTTATCTATCTAATTCTCGGTATCAAAATGGATTTTGACTAAATCATTAAATTATTACAATTATTATTTGTTATTGAATTAAATGTGATCAAAATAAGAACTGTCAATACATGAGAAGATAATGAGAGAATTGCAGGATTCATTGCAACTTGCAAGTGTGGAAGGTGCAGATAAAAATCATTAGGGAAGGTCAGAAATTTTTGAAATGGTGTATGATGACAGTTTATAACTAAAAGAATACTTATGCGCAGCCTATTCTTTAATATTTAATGAGAACCACTTAACCTTCAGATTCAAGACACGTAAAGCTGTTTCGATCAAGGACCTTAATCCTCAGAAATTGTGCTTAACAAGCAAACATTCTGCCAAGTAAACCTTTGACCAGGGAAAAAGTTCACAGGTATGGTTTATATACAGTTTCGGATGTAGACTTATCAAAAATGATTAAAATTAATCAAAAATTATTACAATTCGATTTATCAGTTCTTAAGTTTTGGTACAAATACCATTTTTTTTTTGTCAAATTTTCATTTTCCAGCAGATTATCATTGATTCATGCATGACACTTAATAATACTTTCTAATGAATCATCCAGTCTTTAATAAGGATGGTTCACAAGAAAACCAATATAAACTGTATGTACAAAAGTGACTCACTCAAAATATCCCAAAGTATTAGTCATTACATCAAGAAATCGAGCTCCAAATATAATTCTTTACATTTCATAGACACAATTCTATATCGAGTGGAAAGAAGAGCTCAAAAATAAGAGAAAAGAAACACAAAAGTAGTTTTTCTTTCCTCATTGTTTGCCCATAATCATGTTTATGTGGATAAATGATCCCATTCGTAGCCAACATCTACATTGCAATTATTGTACCATCCCTTCTCCCCCCAAATACAATATAGACCGGGGGAAGAGGGTAGAAAATAATAAAAAAAGAAGAAAAAATCAAATAAATCCTTCTTGAATAATGGCAACACAATGGTCTATCCTTATGCTTATATGTAGATCATCATACAATGTTATGTGCTTTTTTCAAATCTACACACTTCATTTGTGAAATGAAAATCATTCGTAAAAAGCACTTTTTATTCCTCTCTATTCTATAATATGTAAAGCATACATTGAAAATTTCCCATTTTTTCCATCATTTTTCTTTTTTTTATGCCTTTGCCGTAAAGCTTGTTTGTGTGTATAGTTCGACATTCAACGAGAGAGAGAGAGGGAGAGAGAAAGTTGGAGAGAAAAAATAATGTGCCGAAAAATGCTTCGTAATGTATTCATACATTAAAGTACATACAGATACATTCGTAATAGCTCTCCAACTTTACATTCATAAACTGAGAATCATAAATAAATGAAACAGTAAATAAATTTAAAATGTGCAATAAATTATTGCTCCCTTCATACTTTTTTCCTCACCCCCCAACCCCTTACCTCTCCTTTGTGTAAATTTAATGCCCTCAAAAAGTGTTTAACTGTCTATTCTTCATTAAAATTATTAGTATTGTTTTTAATGTTGGAAGCTTGAAATCACGGATATTTATACTATATGCTTTTGTTTCATTTCATTTGGCTGATAGACAAAAACGAATTTAATAATAACAATTTAAAATATCGTAAGGTTAAGACTATGTGGTGAATTTGAATGGTTCTTTTTATCTACACATAAATAGAGAATCATATGAGAATCCAATAACATCACCAGAGAGGCTAGAAAATTTTTGTGAAAAATTTGAATTTGAAGGAATTAGAAAAATGAAAAATCAAGGTAAAAAGTGACCATCTGCTAAGGCGTGGATACTATCACAAATATACTAGAGGTTGTATGCATTAAAATTGAAATATCCTATCGAATCCTAATATTATATATCAAATAAACTAAGGATACGTTGGAATATCTTTATTATCGTACTAAATAGTTTTGTTTTGACCTAATTTATCCAGAAAACAAATGAAACTCATCGACATGCGGTATGTCATCAATTTTAATGAAAAATATCTAATTGTCTAGCCTTCATGTCATCAAAAGTCCTAATCTAATGGCTTAAATAACAGTATGAAGAACTCGTTTGTGGATCTGAGTTTAACTTTCTTAGAATCAAAATTGTACTATACAGTGCAATAACATTAGTATTCACACTGGTATTTAAATAAAAAGCTGATTGCTCTAGAGTAGGCAGGTATGTAAGGATATACTAGCATCTGGATGACTTCCTTAGGCATCTTGCGCGCACGAATTGTGACTAGGTACATTGCTGGGTACATCAGGTCTTATGATGTACTCTTGTCTTTGCAATGTGCAGATCTTGCAAGTGGTTCGGATCCCACTGATTTGGATAAACTGAAGGTCTAAAGGATGATTCTTTACAAATTGAATCAGTGCCTCTAGCTCAAAGGCTGGGCCCTTTTCACATTATTATTAGGGTAGGCAGGGTGGACCTTAAAAACTACTCAGCAAATTTGTTAAAAAAATCTTTTTTGATTCATCAGAAAAAATAGCGAATGTCAATATCACAACATTACTAAGCTTTAATAAATTTTTCACCTTATTCAGAAAGCACCACATAGTCTTTTCTTTGAAACAATATTCTCGAGTGTTCCTTTATAAATTTAATTCATTCTTTTCAATAAAAAATTGTGTGTTTGTGTAAAAATCAAAATTAAATAAATCATATCAAGAAAGAATTATCGACGATTGAAGTTAAATTACTGCATATTTATCATAAAAAATGGGGAAAAGTTTTTATTATATTTAACATTACTATTGTTATGTTATCGCCCCAAAAAACCAAAAGACATTATGAAGAGATTTTTTGATTTATTTTGGTAGGTTAAAAATTTTCATTATGAATTTAAAGTTTTTCTTTTTAATTGAGTATTAGTTTTATTTTTTGGAGAAGAAAAGACATGGAAATTTTTTCAAACTCACCTTCAAATTCCGGTGTTGAACGTATATCCTCTTCCGAACTGCTAAATGATCTTTGTGCTGGCAAATATGAGCCACTACCTAATGATCTCTTTTGTGTCTTTGCATATGGATCTTGTGGTCCATAATGTTGATGATGCTGATGCATTTCTTGTGCTGATTTTGGCTGTTTCATATAGCTCGATTGCTGTTGTTGTGAATGACTCATATATGTTTGTTGTCTTGGATGTACCAAATGCGGATGTGTTCTCATTAATCCTTCGATTTCTCCCTAAGAAATTTTATCAATTTAGATCTTTTTTTTCTTCGATAAACAAATAAGTTAAGACTAACCTGATAATAACGTGGATCATCGTCTTGCGGATAGCCGCTAGTGCTTTGTGAATAATATGAACTACTCGTATTTCGATAAAGAGGCGTTTGATTTAAATATTGACCATCAACATTCGAACTACCACTAACAATACTGCTACTTTGCTGATGTTGCGAATGTAAATGGCTTCGTTGTATATAGCTATCGTCTACACCACTATCCGATGCTGATGCTCGACGTGGTGTTGACGTTTCTTGTTGTGAATACTGACGCCGTAATAGGCTGCTGGTTCGTTGTAATGGCTGATTTTCTTTTTCAGCGGCACTTCGAGCACGCTCTAATTTTGGTCGTTTGTCTGATGTATCATGCGGATTTAGTAATGTTGTCTATTTGCCAGCAAAAGAAAAAGAAGAGAGAAGAAGAGAATTAAAGTATGAAGAGGAGAAAAGTTGGCACATGAAACTTATTTTCTATTTTACTAGATGTATGTGCTTTGTGTTGTTCATAGTGAACTATCAACTTACTCTAGTATCGCTACCAACATGCCTAATGAGACCCTCTGGGCTAGTTGTTTTGTTAATCCATTGTCCAGTTTTTGATAACAGTTCTTGCTTCTTACGGCACAATATGCATACCCAAATGACCTGATGAGTAAATGTAACGAATAACAATTTTTTTATTTGGTAAAAATTCAGCAAAAATTTAAAAATTATCATCAAAAAAAAAAAACTTTCCAGAGAAGGAAATCAAAAGTATCAAGCATGTCTCTCAGATTTTTTCATTCTAATATCAACTCTTTGTCTGTATAGAATAATTTCCATAAATCGTATCAGTCACATTATACATTATGTTATATTATGTGACTCTCTTTCAATAAGTACTTTATGTATATCCAGAATTTGCCATTTCAAAAGACGAGATATGAAACGATATGAGATAAATGGCGAATCTGAGAGAGAAAACGAGGAAAACTAGTCTGTATAATATTTTTTTATGTGACCTAAATCTTAAATAATACCAAAACAGTGATGACTGCCTACCACAAACCACAAACGTGATGACAAAATATTGAGATTTTTTGAATGCTTAAATAAGTTTTGATATCTTTTAATAGTTTTTGGTGCTTTATAGTTTTTCAAAAAAAATTTGTAATTTACTTTTGATTATATAAAATATCTTCTTAGTTAAGCTCTTATCAAACACAGGTCCCATCATTGGATACTGAAACTTTTACACCAGCAAACTTAACATTCGATAATTCGCAAATAAAAAATTCATTGAAAAATATTTTTTCGAACTTGTCGCATTGGATTCTTAAAAGAAAGAAGCTCCTCTTGTGATTTTGTCAAAATATTTCTTTCATTGAATTTTATGATTACTATTATTATTATCTTCATGTTGTTGTGGTGAATGTCAGCAAATTGTAGAATGAGTGGGATGGAGATTAACATGCGTAAAGTACTGAAAGTTCAAGTCTTAGTATGTTCATGTTATCACTGCAATGAAGCCATTGTAAAGATTACTCTAATAATAAATGCTATGCGATGGAAATGTCCCGCTTCTTTTGTTACTGACTGCCATTATTATTTTTAGATGACGTCAAATTCCTCGATAGCATATACGCGGTACATAAGAATGTGTGATTTTAAGATTGTTACGAATGATACATATCAACAGCAATAAGAGAAAAAAAAATACAAGGATATACATATAAAGCACAAGAAGAAGAAAATGAAGGAGAGAAAAATTTTAATGCTGCCTTGTCAAGGCCGCTCAAGTACACAAGGAATATGAAATTTTTGTAAGTTCTTGTGCTTTCTAATGTTTAAATTTCATTCACAGAAATGATTTCTCGTTTTTGCTTCCTTCTTTTAAAATCTTCGATTTATTTTGGCTTAGCGCCAGTGATATGCCAAATGAAAGGATTCTTTCGCTGAATATTCTGCTCGAACAAAGAAATGTTTTCAATATTTTGCATGTTTCTGAGGAGTAAGCTGCTTGATTTGCTTAGTTTTAGCTGAATGGATTGGTTTCATGCATAATTTCGTATCCTTGGCAGTTGAATGTGATTCGATATGACTTTATAATCTAATTAAAATTTGGATCCAGTAAATCCTATTTACTAATTCTTTTAAAAATTGAAATTAAAATGCGCTTTTACATTCGAGAATCCTAAAGATTTAAAAATTCTTCTCTTACTTCCTACAAACATGAAGGAGAAAATGAATGAAATGGATAGATAGAAAATTGGAAAACCATCAGCCATCATCAACATCTTAAGGAAAAAAAAAAGATGAGAAAACCCATTGTATAGCTGAACATCACAGTTTACATGCAAGCCATTAAAGAATTTCATCTTCTTCTTCATCCTTTATATATATTTTTTTCTTCTTTTTATTCGTGAAATAATGTTGCTGCGGTTTTGCTGTTATGACGTCACACATTGGTCGCCAGTCGTAAGTCGTTGTTTGAGAGGATTTTCTTAGTCATTTTCATTCAATGAGAATATAAATCTCTGAGTTGTACTTCACATTTCTGAGCCCTTTAGGCATTTTCAATTTCAATGAAACGTAATCAATTTCTTTTATTTTCCACTTTCTTAGATGAGGAAAGCATGAATGTGGAAATGGAAGGATTGTGGTATGGTGGTGGCGCATCATGTAGGAAAACCTTGAATTAATTTAATATATTTTATTTGTCCTTGATACTTGTTTCAAAAGATGGAAAAATATTAACAAATCGCAATCTTAAATAATTTTGTAATTAAGGGTAGCTATTTGAACAACCTAGAGCTCGAAGTCGAATCGAGAAAAGTTGAGTCGATTCTGTTTTGAGTAGAGCCGAGTCAACTCGAGTCGACTCGAATTCTATCGATTTCGAGCTCTGGAACAACCTTAATAAACCTTCTCAAATCATGATACGATTTAATTAAAGTTAATTTTTCGATTCCGATCCGATTCAGCCATTAATAATTGCACAGTCACAATATCAAGAAATTCTCATAGATCTTTATATATTTTCTATTGTCATCTCATTCATGCAACTTTATCTATGGGAAAATATTTTAAATTTATGTGAATTCTAATTTATTTTTTGCTAATGTTCTTTTCTGATCTAAAATTTAAAGGAATCAATTTTTACAGCAAAACTAAAAGAATCAATCAATACAAAAAATTTTATCTATTGGATTTACAAATTTACCTTATTACTACGTAATGTTACTTTTCCACCGCATCTAGCGCAACATCTAATACTACAATAATGACACACATGTCCAATGCCATCAGCAAATCGTGTCTTTAAACATATTTGACAAGTTGCATCTAATTCAACACCAGCCTTTTTTTGTTGCTCGGAACGTTGTCTTATGCTCTGCTCTAAATTTTCTACTTCGACTTGTTTACGTCTAAAATGACATTATTTTATATATGCGTGAATTTTTTTAAGTGTTGCGAATATGAATAATTTTTTTTTTGCGAAATGGAAAAAGAAGAAAGAAAGAGAGATAGAAAGATAGAAGTAAGTAACAACATCAACATCATCATAAATAAAAAATTGTATGAAAAAGACATAGAGATTTGAGACAGAGTTGTTGTCACTGGAGAATTTTTGTGCATTTTAGGTTCACTGTCTAAAATAATCAATATTATAAATTTCATCTTTGTAGGTTTAAAATGGAGAGAAAAGTTGAATCAAGTTATTTTGAGGAAAATAACTCCAAAAACCACCAAAAAATGATATAAAAAAACTCTGCGCCTCTTGTTTAAAATGATCAGTCATTTAAATTGCACTTCAATTTGAAGCTACTATAGAAGTTTTATTTCAACAACAACTCTATTCCAAAAAAAAATTATGATTCATTGGAAATAAAAACTAAAACAATCAATTTTTGTTAACGCGAAATTTCAACACAGAAACAGAGAATATTGAAAGGCATAAAAAAATGTAAAAGAAGCTTTTTCTTGGCAGCAAGTAAACAGACAGAGTAGATGCATGAAATGAAAATGACGAACAGAAAAATAAAATAAATTGAAACTTCATGTGTATGTGTATGTGGGTGGATTATGATTTGTATTAGCAAAAGTTGTGAAATTAAACGTGACAATGATAAAACTTAATAAGTTGAACAAAATAAAAAATCCATGATTCTTTTGCAATTTATGCTTCTTTTTTGATGAAAAGAATGAGTCATTTAGTCAAATGGGGAATTAAATTGAACAACTAAGTGATTCGTCTAATTTCGAAAATTTGGACAATGTTTTGACATAGCTTGAAATTTCAAACCTCAAAAGACTAAAGACTTACTCTTGGAGTAATTCCTTGTCTTCCAAAATTATTTAAGTTGGAAGGAATTCCGACTTATTAAAACTATTAAATCTATAATCAGACAGTCCAATTGCATCATCAAAAATTTCAATATCCATGAAGATTAGAGTTTCAAGAATATCTGTTCTCGTGTAATTTCCGGAATCGAGAACGGGAACGGGAATAAGGGTCGGAAACGGGAATATTCCCTACTGATTTTCGGTAAACAGGAACGGGAATAATCCCGATCTTAGAACCCCTAATAAAAATGGGAGTTAAGAAGAAAAAGAAAACAAAAGCATGTCTGATTCATTCATCAAAATATACATTATCAACTTTTTGCCAAAAATTATGTGAGCGATGTGACTCATGTTCATTGATATGTTTTATTAATGGCAATTTTTTTTTCAAAAGAATTCAATGACTTTAAAAAAGTTCTCGCATTTCCTAAGAGTCATGCAGATCTGTTCCTTAAAAATCATTGCAATGAAGAATTTTACGATAACGGAATTCAATTCTCAATTGACTCTTTTTTGATGTTTTTAAAATTTTCAGTTCATTTTACTTATGACGTCCTGAATTTAGGATTTTGTGACAGTTTTAACAAAGAATTTTTTTTTTCTATAGAAGTTTTGTGGCAGAGGGTTGAAAACACTGTTTTTTGGCAGACGTCATAAGTCAAAAGCTTTGTATTAATCAAATCTAAAATAATTTGAAAAAGATCTAAAATCTAGTAGCGATTTTGAGGTAAAAAGCACAAAATAAATCTTTAGGATATGTTTGAGAAAATTATAAACTTAAAGTTCAAAGGAAGTAAAACTACAATACCAAATAAACAATTCAATTTAAATTTTTTACACAATTTAAGCGAAAAACTTATTAAGAATTTCTAAAACAAATAATTGCTGAAAAAAACCATTTCATTATCTAAAATAAAATTACATAGAAATAGTTTTCTGTTCCATTTTTCTAGGAAACAAAGTTTTCATCAGACCACTTTTTTTCTCATTGAAATAGTACAAATGAAAAGTTTTGAGATAATTGTTAAGTAAGTACAAGAAATTTCTTGGAATGATTTAAAAAGTTGCAGTGAAATTTTGTAGTGTTAATTTTTTGTGACGCATTTACAAAAGGTTGAATGAAATTTTGTGGTTTAGAACTAAATTCGAATCATTTGATTTAAATTTTTAAAACTCTTAGACTTAAACGATTAGGTTTTAGATTAAAAATGAAAAAGTTTAAAAAACCAAACACAAAGAACGTTAAATTTTCAGATTTACTTTGAGTTGGATTTTAAACAAGATTTTAGGCAATAAAAAATCTTAGAAGAAAGGATTGGTACATCTAAATTGTCTATCTAGGAAAATATAAAAGAAATCGAATAAAGAGACTAGCCGACATTAATTGAAAATCATGACTAAAACTTGTCTTCTTAAATAATTTGCTAAAAAAAGGAACTATGTTGGAAGAAGAACTATTCACAATAGAAATGTTATAAACTGAAAGAATAAAATATATAAAAAAAAAAAACTTTCAGATGCACAATGAGAGATATGTTTGCAGGCTATTTGTGTGCTCGTTGTAGATAGCAGTTGATAGAAAATGTAAGTAAGTACAATTATTATTACTATTATAACATTTTTAAGTATGAAAATAATGAGTGATGATAATAGCAAGGAGGAAATGAAATTAAAAATGAATTGTGCATATGGCAAGCGGAATGATAATTTTTTTATGCAGAGATATGGATCACAGTGATGAAGAATGAAAGCGCATTATTGTTAAATTGTTTTTTTAATGTTTTTTAAAGATAATCTTTTAATTAATTATTTTACTTGGATGTTATGGACGTAATGTTAGAATTGAATATTGAAAATGATAATTAATTTGTTTAACTAAGGTTTAAAACTGTTTAAAATAAATCAAAACCTCGATTTTGTTATCTTTAAAATTATGAACTTGTCAATTTTTAAAAGTCAGTTCTTAATTGATTTTAAATTATCCAAGAAATTGTTGTTTCTTATGTTACTGGAAATGAGGACTTTGTTGTCAAATCAATTAATGCTGATAAAGTCATTGAGATTTTGATATCAGCTAAAAATATTTCAAAAATTTAGAGCTTGCCTTGCCAAGTTTTATTCTTTTTTAATAGACTACCCTAATAGACAAAGAGCATGCTCTCAATGAGTATGCTCACTAAAATATACTAGCTGAGTATGCTCACGAGTTAACTCAGTCAGTACATTTAAGTGAGCATACTCATTGAGAGCATGCTCTTTGTCTGTTCGGGCTACGTTAGCTTTATGTTAAAGTAAGTCATAGAACATCCTAAACTGTGCTTGCAACTAGTCTACAGTGAGATAAAAATAAATAATTAAGTAACCCAACATCCATCAAAAAACAATTGCGCCATTTTAGAAAGGAAAAAGTGCTTTATAGTTTAAAACAAAGACATAGACGAATGAGCAACACAGGAAGGAAGTACAATAATTGAGGAAGAGTAACAACAAACAACAGAAACAAAAAAAAAATGAGGAAAGAAACGTTCATAGCTGAATAATTTTTTCATTATCAATACTTACTTCATTAATTCTCGCTCAGTTTCTTCTTCTTGTTTTTGTCTACTAATAACATTTTCGATGATCGCACGTTCTTCAGGTGTTAAATGTGATAAATCAGGCATATCAGCCATGATTTGGGGGACCACAATGATTACAAAATTTTTTTCGTCGTTCTTTCTTTTTTTCTTTTATTTTTAATTCCTTTATGTTCACAAGAAATGTTTTTTTTATTTTGTCCTTAATTGTTGTTGGCTTGTTACTTTATTATTATTTATTCTAATTTATTCTTATTTTTGGTTGTTTTGCGTTATAATAATATTAAAGGAATCAAAAATGAAAATAACACAAAATGCATGTAACTTGGTTGGAAATAAAACAACAGTTGCTCGTCAATTTACTGCGAGTGTTCATTAAAACCAAATTGGTGGTGGTGAAGTGGATTGAATGAAAGGTAAATAGAACGTAACCAAGGACATAATGACGAAACTAAGGAGAAATCATAACACAAAAGTCGACAGTTTTTTTTTGTCACTTAACGTCACTTTCTTCTTGTGGATTCAACTTTGTAATTCTTTCTTTTCCTCTCTCTTTGCACTGGGACAGAATGAAGCAACAACAATGACTGTAAAATGTGACAACGGCAACGATGAAATTCAATTAAAATAACTTTTTATCTTCTTTCAAATATTATTTTTTTTTTCTTTTAAATATTTTTTTAATAATGTGTCGTTACACAAAAGTTTGTGTCTTGTCTCTATGTACTAATTGCTTGCAACTGCCTGCATCATAAATCATTGTTCCATATTATAATATTTTTATATGTACACATTTGAGATCTCATTTCGAAACTATTTTGCATCTCTTCTCCTCCTTTTGTGCTCCACTTTTACCTCCTTTATGATGATATCGGTTGCATTCGGTGAATGTTGTCGATAATTTATGTTTAAGCAACATTCTTTATAATATATTCTATTATTTTATTTACTTATTTTTTTTTGGATAAAGAACTTTTATTTTACATTTTCACTTCTTTTGTTTAGTTAATATTTTATTATTATCCGTTATTTATGTACATATGGGACTTAGTATGTGTCGAAAAAAATCAGTAAAACACATAAATTTTCTTATCACAAATTTACTGCAAAAGCTTTCATCATTTTATTCATTCTATTCACTTTTTTTATGCTGCAAAGAGTAGAGACAACAACAATAATAAAATTAGACTTTATTTTTCAATAGTGGATATTATTTCCTCTATGTGCCAAATAGATAATTCAATAAGTCAGATATTTTGAAAATATTTTATGTCAAATTTAGCTTTTTCCTATTTGTTGCTGATTTGTTTGCAATAATGGTGTTGAAATGCAGTTTAATTTTCAGATTGATTTTATTTCAATTTTTTTGGGTGAAAAACTTTTGGATTTCAATTTAAGGACAGGAATTTATAGAACGAATTTTTAATTGAATATTGTAAAATTAATTGAAATAAACTTTATAGGATTTTGATTTGGAAGATATTCTTTAAAATTTCAACATTTTTCAACATTCAAGAGATTTGCAGGCTAATATTTAAGTATTTAATCCACAAATTCACATTAACTCCTATTTAAAAAATTTCCAAAAATCTTCCATTTTCTCTTTTTTTTTTTTTAAAACTTTCCAGAATAGTTCAACTTTCACACAAAGGATATAAACCTAATATTCAATGACTCTATTAACATTTCAAAAATGCTGCACTAGTTTCCAACTTAATTCTGAAGTTTCAATCTTTAACTATTGCTTTTTATTAAAACACAAAAAGCAAATTATAACTTAGTCACAGAACTAACGATAACAAACCATAAAAAAGCTTTCTTCCTTCTTCTTTTCTTATTACTCGTTTTTTGTTTCATAAAGGAAATATTGTTACAAGATCAAGAGATTTTTCCTACTCCTCGTCGGGACAGGAATGTGTGAAAAAAAGTTTTTTTTAATAATATTCTTGAGAATCTTGAAAATCGGCATGCGCGCATGTCATATTGGACTAATACACAAGAGAAGAAAGGAAAAAAAAAATTCTTCTTCCTCACTTTTATGTGTCACTTTCGGAATGGAAAAAAGCACAGAATGAAAAAAAGAAAGAACTTGAAGGCACAGTTGTGATTATGGAAACTGCTGGCTTTTCTTCCTTCTTTTCTTATTTTTTTTTCTCCTTTCTTCATTCTTGGCGAAAGACGGAGAAAAATGTCCAGAAATAAATCATGTTTTGCTTTGTGTATTCTTTAAACTTTGATATTATGCACTACAGATTAGGATGATGATGACGATGATTGCTGTGCAGGAGGATGAGAGCAGATGAGAATGAAAAAAATCAATTCACCCACTTTTCTATGAATGAAATTGCGAGAACATCAAGTAAATGAGGCATTGTGGGTAGATTATCATCGATTTGTCTCTGAGAGAATTTTAACTGATTTTTTTTTTGAATTTTCGCAGGGCTAGAAGCTATGTTTTAGGTTAGAATTTTACTTCCACTTCAAAAAGTTTTCTTCAATTTTATTCCTTTTAAATGAGTTAAAGCACAACTTTCATTATATTTTCAGCATTTACAAGATGGCAAGAATCAGTTGCCATAAGTCATGATTTCAAAATATTTGCAATTATGAACTTAAATCCAAAATGACTAAATTAAAATCCTCTCATTTAACAAAAATTGGCATCAAGAAAATTGCAATTGAAAAAGAGGATCTTTTGGCACTGACTATTATCTCCATACCCAACTATTTCATTCATTAATTATGTTTGTGTGTCTTGCAAAACAATTTTCAAGAAAAAAGGCCATTGAGCTTTTTATTTTCGTTGAAAGCTACAAAATTTCTCTCGAGACAATGGATGTTCATGCTTCCTTCTTATTTCTTCTCGTAATAAAGGATAAAGCAAATGTATGATGTTGTACTTTAGCAATATCCTCTTCAACTCATTCTCTTGCTCTGCCTCTCCTGTATGTAGATAGATATGGGGGTATAAAATATGAATTGAGTTCATAAAGAGAAAGAAACTTTTTTTTTGGCAAAATTGCCAGAACAAGATTGCAAAAGAATTGAAATTGTCTTCATTTCCCTATTGTAAATCATCGCAATTTTATGATATGTGAAAATGCAATTTGCAGACATAAAAAATTGCAGATTTTTTTTTTTTGAAAATTTTAATACATATTAAAAATGCCGATGTAATTCCTCTTAGACATATTAGCATAGCTGCATATAATTTTTCTCATTCATTGCAGTAGAAATGTTAACATTCAGTAAACCTTTCTTTTTCGTGGTATAAAAATTGAAAATGGCGACCTTTTTTTATCTATCTGCCTGTGTATTTGTGTCTCGAGATGTATCTTCTCTTTTTCGAACGGAACGAAAAAAAAAGGGGAGAAATTTCATTTGACATAAAAGTTGATTAAAGTTAAGGATATGCAGCAACATATGAATTAAATCTATTTAGCACATTCCAATGTTTATTTTTGTCACACTTTTTCCTCATGAAAGTCATAAATTGAGCAAGGAAAGTGAACTAGAAATTTGCTAATTTTCCGCTATCACATACTCATTTTTACACGCACTCACACACATTAACAGCATTTTCTTTATAACTTTTTCTCTATCATCTATCACCATATTTCGTTTGATTCTAATTAATTTCGAGCATAAAACATAATATGTGCAGCGAACAATATTATTATTATATGTACAAAACACTTGAATTATCCAAATTTGTCGCAAAAAATCATCACAAAGTTTTTCATTTTTTTTTTCGTTCCTTCCTTTTTGCAGATAAAAATTTTCTCTCTTTTTTTTTGGTAGCAATGAAAATTATATTCCACTTTTTTTCATTTTTATAATGTCTTGGAAGGAAAATTGCAAACAATTTAACACTTTATAACAAATAAGGAATCAATGAACTCTTTATTTAAATTGTCTAATTAATTTTTGTTTGCTGCGGAACTAAAAATATGTTTTTTTTTTTCGAAAAAAAATTTCACTGATATTTTTGCTGTGTTCTATCCGAGCTTTATGTGTCCGCGAACCGATGGTTATTTGCTACCTCATTTTCTCGCCTTTTTTGAGCTCTCTTACTCTCTTCAATTTTCCAGCTTTTATTCAATTTTCATCATTGTGTGGGTGATGTGGAAGGGTACTTTATACTTCCTTCATATCAGCAACTTTAACTGTATATGTTGTGAGCGAGTATACAGTTATGAATTTACGTCACCGAATTAAGTGATGAGATTGCGCAAAAATGTACTTTAAAAAAAATTATTCTATCGTTCCAGATCGTCAATTTCGGAATGGATTATTTGGACTAGAATTTCTCAAACAACCAACAATGAGCATGACTTTCAACGTGATTAACGGATGATCTGAAATTATTTACATGAACTAAAGTTTATCGCTATAACATATATCACGCATATTTATTACTATTTAATAATTTCCTTTTTTCATATACATAATATAGCACTAGTCAGTATTTTTTCTTTTTTTTTTGTTTGTGTTGTCTAGAACTTAAAATAATTACATTTACATATAAGTATTAATCGTTTACGTTTGTAAAAAAAAAACAAAGTTATTGATGATGGACACGGGAAATAGAAAATAATGGCACGGCCTCTTAGCAGTTTAAGTCGAATGTCTGTACTTTGGTTGGGAAATTTAATCTGTAAGTCTTTATATGAACTTGAAGCATTTCTGCTTGTCGTGAGGAATTCGAGTTTTAAATAATATCGAATCTGCTCGATATTGTGTGTTTAGAAGTGGAGTGTAGCCAAATACCTGTGGAATAAATCAATAACAATCACAATTAAATTATTAAATAGCATCAGTTAAGCTACATACCTTGGAAAAGAAGTTTATACATTTATGCCGCTCCTGAAAGTGAGTATCATCCTCAGATAGCGAAACAGGACAAACAGGACATCTAAATGTCCATCGTGATGTAACCTTAACTGGAGGTTGTCGTGTAATATGTGAAACAAGGAAATTCATTGCAATATCTTCACAATTCATATATTCATCAACCTTATCTCGGATTGCTTGCGGTAGAGAATATGTGTATAGATACGTGTAATATTTATGGAAAAATGCCGCTCCTGTCAGCACCATTGATAATTCACAGCTGTAATTTGAATTATAATTCCATGCGCCATTTACATCCCACGCATGGAAGCGCCCAGGAAAGCCAACGATTTGATCACGATGCTCGCGCCATACACGAAAACCAAAAAGAATTTCATCATGACGTAGGTGTGCATCATCGTCAACGGACAAAATTGCTTCCGTTTCGATTGAATCATATGGAAGGAATCGATTGTTTAAGGAATTTCTAGCTGCTTTAACGACCTCAACTTGTACACCAATTTCAGGCCATCTTAAATCTTCTAATGGAGGTTTTGGTGAATTCCAGACAACAATGACTTTGTGGAGATAAGGAAGTCCATAAAGACGACTAAGAGAATCCATTAGAACTTGTTCACGTTCATAAGTTAAAATGACAATTGTAAATTGCTCACGTGGATGATTTCCACCTAATGATTCACCAAATTCTTTTCCAGTTCCTCCAACTCCTTTTCCAATAGGCCTAAATCCTAAATTAGAGCCAACAAACTTTGCATCACTTGGTAACACAGGATCAAATGGTAAATGTGGATATAAATAAAAAGGATCGCCCCAATCATTCCAAGCTTCTCGTTTTTGTGTCAAAAAGACTGTATAATTTCTACGGAACTGTGGAGATGGATAGGGAGGCTCAATTGGTCCTAAAGATTCTTCTGGCTCAATATCCATGACTGGTGGATCGGATTTGAGTGGTACAAATGATGAATTAAATACACTAACGGCTTTAATTTGAGGAATTGGTTTAGGTGGAATTCCAAGACGATCTCTAATATTAGCAACAATTGTATCAATGACTGCCTGAACAGAACTTAAATATCGTTCCCATATTAATCGTCCTTGACGTCTCATCAATAATAAATCATTATCAGGTACGGAACGAAGGAAAAAGTGTAATTCAGTTACTCGAGCTTTTGGTAATAAAATTACAGCTCGTTGCCACTCAATCACTTCCGAGAATGGAAGTTCAATTTGATCGCCACCAAGAATAACTGGAATTGAACCAGCTCTTAGAGATTCATAGATTCGAGCTTGAAGAAGTGTTGAGCTCATGATACTTCGATCAGGCACCAAAATTAATGCAAAAGTAGACTCTCTTAAAATTGTACGTCTAGAATTGTCAGTTCCACACATATACCAATCCTTAACAGCTGCCGTATTTGTCTGTTCTGTTGCTGGATTACATTCAAATTGCAAATAAAATTTATCGGAATGTACGCCATTAGAAATTTCTTTTAAATGCTCAATTATAAACTCATCAAGTTGTGTCTCATCGGAAGTTTCTGTTGACGATTTGTTAACTGCAGTCATTTCACCTTGAAAACTTAGAATGTATTTTCTACGTGCTGGTAACATTGGTGCACATTCCATCCACACGTCACCGCCGGGCGAGCCCAAAATAACTGGTACAATTAAGTCAAAACCGTGTCTATATTGAAAATCATTAAATGTTGATTGAACAAGCATAGCTCTACCCGTATTTGCATTAGCAAATATATTTCTCGATCCAGTACTTAAGTCACGACGAGCTAGATTCAAAAGAACATGATTTCGTCCATCACCGCCCCAATATTTAAGCCGTTGAAGTGCTGTCACATTGAGTATGTCATTTGATGATATTGTTGCCTTATTAATATCGATTGTATTTGCATAGCGATTATTACGAAGTGTTTCTTGTTCGGAAAGTGCTTCGCCAACAAGGACAAGGAATATACATGCTATTTTTGGATCTCTTGTAAGATGAGCGTTATATCCAAAAGTTTGCTTAATGGTCGTTTTTAGAAATCCATCAATTTCATATCCTTGATTAGTGACTGATGTGATGTCTGGATCGTAGAGAAAAATAGGGAAACTAGATGTTATTGAGCATCTGCTGTGATCGAAGCAGCTTGCCATCCTACATTTTAAATAATCATTAACTGATGGTGGTTTATAAGTTTTTGGTAGAATATTTGGAAATAAAGCACTTGGAAGTGCCAGTTCCGGTGTATTTCTTAACACTGCTTCTCGTTGTGCCACTTGAGCTTGTTCAACTGATATCTTTAATCTATTGAGCTCTGTCTGTTGCCTTGATAGTTCTTGCTTCAATTCATCTATTTTTGAGTTGTAATTTGAAATGTCTGATTGTAATTTTTGACGTTTTGCTTCCAATTCCCTTAACTCTGTTGATACAGTTGTTTTGATTTTAAGCATCTCAGCTATTCGCTGTTTTAAATCAGTAGCTTTCATTGAATTAAAGTCTTCATAATTTTCTATATTATCTAGTCGATATTTACGAATTGTATCTACATTTTGAATACTTGAATCAGCCTGTAAATAGATAATATTCATTAGTTAAGTATAATTGTAGGATCCAGTAAACTTACGTCTGATAAGAAATGATGAATAAGAAAATAGAAAAACAAAAAACCGAGAAAAATAAATAAAATTGAACGAAAACATCGATTCCTGAAGTTATTTCCTTTCATTGATTGATATGAATTGTTGCTGAACATCCTAATAGTCTTTTATCACACTAAACATGATTAGAAATGACGATTTCCCTTAGTTTTTTTTTAATTAAACGAGAAAACTTTTTAGTGAAAAAAACCTGAATATTTTTTTGTTTATAAATCAGGAATAAAGCGTCGCTTTAAAATTTAAAATTATTCAAATATTTTCTATCCGTTATTTCTATTTAATTAAAACTGATAATTTAACGGGTTTAAGGAATTCATCTACAAAAGCACCTAAAAGAAGAAAGTCTGTAAACAAAAAGAACATAACCAAGAGATCTTCTGGATCTTAAAAAGAAATCGTTTATTTCATTATTATTCCAATAATGACGAATGTACAACAGTTAATTTATGCTGATGAACGCAAGTGTTGCTTGACAATATCCAAAGCTGGTGTTTCTTGTCCGTAGTTCTTGATAACTACACATGAGCATCCGCAAATCTTTCTTGGTTTGCCTTCTTTGTCGATCTTGCAAAGACCAGACCATTCACCCAATTTTTTGCTGCTGTCAACACGGAGCAATGGAATTTGATGTTCATTGCACAATGCTGTAATCAATTGCTTGTATTGTGGCTCGTCGCAACTTTCAGATAAGATGCAGAGAACAGCTTGACGCCTAGCAAAAAAAGGAAACAGTGTCATTGACTTCTATTCAATCGATTTACAGTGCCACAACTAGACATAAAGCTTTCAAAACTCAAAGTTTTAAAAGATCCAGTCAAGCTATGGCTTGTAAATGACCAAAGGTCTCTTCCGATCCTTTTTCAAGTTCAGATTTTCACACATTTCAGGTACTCACTTGTCCAAAACTTTGCATGATTGGTGGATTCCGTGAACGAGTCCATCACAAATGAGTGATTGCTTAAGGACTTCTTGAAGAGCGGTGTTTAAATCCATAGCTCCATCTAAGGAAACTGATGGTTGTGCGACTTCACTATAATTAACATGAAATTCATTAATATTCCATATCATTCAGATGTATTAGGTTCTTATGAGCTACTTACACTTCAGTATCAGACATTTTGAGTTGATTTAATTAATTTTTTTGATAAAAAATTAAGAGCCTCGTGTTACTTGCACGAAAGAAGATTGGAAAAGAACGAAACATGGCGATTCAGCCGACGCAAACAATATATAAAGCAACGCTTTAACATCGCTCAGCTCCAAAAAATTGATGTTCAGCCGAAAAAAACGTTCATCTTCCTTTTTCTCGCGAGTAATTTTGAAAGAAAATCATGCCGGTGAATATTTTTTATTTTTAAGTGTCTTATCGGTTCCAAAACTTATTGAATTTGTGTGAAAAAAGTTCCATGGATGTCCCTTCATCGCTGCTTTATGGATAATTTGTGATATTCAGGAGTTAAAGGGATAAAAATGTATAATTAACGAAACATTGCAAAAAGTTATTCTCAAAGAAATTCATTTTGTCTTTGTTGGATGAAGAATCAGTTTTAACTATCCTTTTAGCATCACAAAGTTTTAATTATAGATGAAAATACATGAAATGTGAAATATCCGTGGAACAAAAGTTAATTTAATTAAATGCACAGCATAAGTTTTGGAATTTTTTGACAACACAAATACATAACCACAAAAGTTTCATTTTGTTGTGAAATTCATTTCACCTTTAATTAAACTTCTTTTTATTCTCTTTGTCATTTTAGTTAGCCAGAGATTTACTCCACCCTCTTCCAGCTGAAGAGAAGCGCAAGCATAAGCTTAAGCGCTTAGTACAACACCCAAATAGCTATTTCATGGATGTCAAATGTCCAGGATGCTATAAAATCACAACAGTTTTCAGTCACGCTCAAGGAGTCGTTGTCTGCACTGGATGCTCCACAATCTTGTGTCAACCAACAGGAGGTCGTGCAAAATTGACAGAAGGTACGATACTTTGTAATTTGTGAACATTAGTAGTGCTGGAACAAAGTGCATTCGTTTTGGAATTGACTGGATATTAAGTTTGATTTAAATGGGAAGTTTTGTGCTAATATAGAGTTATGCTGTATGTCAAGAAATTCGACACTTTGTTGGAACTGATCAAAAATATCTGAATTCTTCTAATGAGCAGCTTGCATAGACTGAATAATATTAGAACCATTTCTGGATCTCTAATGAATTTTAAGGAACATTAAGATCCACTTAACAAACTTTATATAATCAGTTCCAGTCAATTTACTTTTTGACAATGATTAAAATTTTTCGCCAATTTTTAACAGCTTTTTCCAAATCAATCTAGTCCACAACAAATTCACTTAATCAACTTCGACCTATATAAATCTTCTATGCTATGGAACTGACCTATTTTTCTTTTCTTGTCTTATTTCAGGATGTTCATTCAGAAAAAAACCATATTAAGCTATAGAATGTATGCTAAGGATTTTTGGTTTTGTATTTTACAATATTCAGAACCTTAATAAAGATTCAACCGAAATTCCATCAAAAATCAAAAGGTTTTAAGGTTTTTGAAAATTGCAAAAAAAATGGAAGTTCTTTTATTGCTGATTTTAACATTTATTCCAGGTCAAATTTCATCATCATTTTATTACAGAATTCATAATGAACTAACTTAAACTAGTTATGAAAAAATAAATTAAGTTGCTGGTTTTTCTTCTGACTGTATGATTGGGCTATTAACATCTATTTGTTGTTCCTGTGCTTGTTTTTCAAGCAGTTCTTGCTGCTGTTTTGTGAATTCTTCCATTCTCTTTTCATTTATTTTGCCTTGTACTTCAACATATGTTTTCATTATTAATTGATTGGTATTGGCATATTTATCGACACAGTTTCTCACGCAAAAATCCTAAAATTCAAAAGATCCAGTAAGTGGAACTAAGATCAAGAAATTTTTTTTACCTCTTGATTCTCAACTTCTCGTGTAAAGAATCCATCAACACACGATGTAAAGCATCTTTCTGTGATGATATTATACAGCTGAAGAAAGTCCTTAAACTGTCTTAATTGTGCATCTAAATCCATTATTTTAATTGTATTATTAAATTTTAAATTTACAAGAAATTGTGTTTTGGTTAGCTAAGCTGACGCGCAGCTTCAATCAAGTTTAAAGCTTTGATTCTATCATTTAAAGCAACGCCTTAGTAAAGAAATCACATTGTTTTTACAGAAATTTTAATTCATTTTTTAAAAAATCAATATCTCAACAATTAAAGCTTGTTAAACTCAATAAAATGGTAAGTTCAGTAATTCTCACGTCAATCTGCTTATTTAACTTATTAATCTTCCTTTTAGGTGAGAAAGAAGCGTCCATTTATCGACAAAAAGAAGGCAGTCACTTTTCGTTTAGTAAATCGATCTCAACAAGATCCATTGATAGCTGACGAAACAGCACCTCAACATGTTTTAGTTCCAATAACCAAGAGAGGTCACGAAACAACTAGTTCTAAATCATCAGATATATCAATACCTCCAGAAAAGCGCAAAAAGGAACAACAAAAGTTTGGAATCTTCTACGAAGACGATTATGATTATTTACAGCATTTAAAGGAACCAGGGCAAAATGATGTTCATTGGGAGGAAGTTCCACAAAGGAATGAAAAAACTAAACCGAAAATTCAACTTCCAAGCTCAGTTTTTGCTTCAGAATTTGAGGAAAAGGAAGGAATGTTGAATAAAGCAGCTCCAAGATCAGGTGAGTTTACATGCTTCATTATTAAGTTATTTGAAATTAAAACATTTATTCTTAATAGGCCCTAGACTTGACTGGGATCCAGACGTTGTGGCTGCAATGGATGATGATTTTGACTTTGAAAACCCAAATAATGAATTAGAGGATGATTTTATGGAATTGGCAATGGGTGGAACTGGAGACGATAGTGATTTTGTCGAAGATGACGAGGATGCAGATATTGATTCAGATGGTGCTGCATATTCAGACGAAGAAGATGATGAAATTGGTCCACTTCCAAAATCTCGAAATTTTCCAACTTTTGATAATGAAGAAACAAAGTCAAGATTCACAGAATATTCAATGTCAAGTAGTATAATCAGAAGAAATGAACAGCTGACATTGCTCGATGATAAATTTGAAAAATTCTTTGAGGATTATGACGATGAAGAAGTTGGAGCTTTGGATTGTGAGGAAATTGAAGGGCATGTCGATATTGATGATCATATGCTAAATCAATTAACGACAGATTTTCAAAAGAAACAACTTCCAGTTCAGTATGAGAAATCATGGGATATTTGTCGTATGGTTAAGGTACAGCAAGAAGAAGAAGAGAAACCAGAGGAAATGGTGATATTAGAAGTCTCAGATGATGAAAATAAGAAGAAATGGGATTGTGAAAGCATGTTATCAACCTTTTCAAATATTTACAATCATCCCAAACTCATAGAAGTTTCATCAAAGAAAAAGATTCAAATAAATCCAAAAACAGGAATGCCAAAAAATATCCTGAATAGTGAGCAAGCCGGTAAATTGACAGAAAAAACACTCGCAAAATTGAATAGCGAACAAACAGAATCAACAAGTGGTAATGCTGGTCCAAAATCACTATGTGCTGAGAGTGTACTTACAACATTAAGCGTTCTGTCTCTTCGACCGAAAGATGAAACCCCAGAAGAGAAGCGAGAACGTAAAAAGCTATTAAAAGAGTGTAGAAATGAACGAAGGATTGAAAAGAAAGCAAATAAACTGGCATTCAATGATGAGCGATTGCGGCAACATTCAATCACAATGAATCAGAAAAATAACTTGCAAGGAAACAAAATTCTTTAGGGGATTTCACTTGTTTGTCAACAAATTGGAATTAAATTAATTTTTATCTTTTGAGTTATTGACAAATTTGCAACATGGCAAATTGAATTAAATCTTTTTTGGAATATCCTGAATAAACGTTTTACATTAAATAAATACTAAAGAAATTCAATGAACTTACTGTTATTGTATCATATGCCCAACATTTTCAAGTGCTTTCTCACAATGAATAATTTGTATAAACGATACCCACGCAGTCTAATAGAAGATTTATATCAGCTTTTTCGTGACAGCACATGAAACTCACTAATGAATCATTTATCTTGCTTTAGAATCAATTAAATCTTTAAAAATCTTCAAGGTTTTATGTTCGATATTTGAATAATTGATGGAATTTCAAAGGGACTAATTTGTTCAGTTGAATTTTGAAATTGATTCAGATCGTACTTGTGGATTTTTTGCTTGACACGCTTCTATTGTGGAACATTATTCATTGAGATTAAACGTGATTGTGAATACTTTTTTTAAAATAAATTTGTGATTCACAATTTTTCATTTCCATTTGTTTTAAAAAATGTGATTAATTTCAAAATAACCGTAGAAATTCTAATGCAATTTTTTAAACTTCAAAACCTTACAACAGTTTTTAAAAACTCAATTATTTAACTGTCACAAATAATTTAAATGTTCCAAAACCATACAACAGTTACACATCAAAACCATAAAATGTGAATGACATTTAAACATTTATATGGTTTTGATGTGTAAATAAATTTTAAACAAAATTCAAAAATAAAATCCAACAGTTTTTTTTCCCAAAAGTAGTAAAATCCACATGCAGCACAAAGAAAAAGATATCCATAACGGTTTTAAATACAAACAAATTTTCGAAAAAATACAGAATGCTCGATTTTTCTGAATCATGATACTCAGTCCGAATCGACTGATAGAATCATTTTTCTGCTTTTGAACGGGTTTATTTTAAAACAAAAAAAATAATTAAGTTTTCGCGTAGAATTTAGCAATAAATTGAGTGAAATTTGTCGCGTAATATCCCTTCAAACAGATCCAAGATGAATGTCAGTGCTGGAAATTTTATTTTCATACACTTTTTTGCTTATTGAAAAAAAATCTCATCTTTTTTTCTCATCTTAATGCAAAATTTTCGGTATGAAAAAAATAAAAAAAAAGAATGGATAAAAATGATTCACACTTAAATTAGTGGAAATTTAATTCAATTCAACGTCTTAATTTGTGTATCGTGTTTTAATAATCATGTGTTAATAAAGTCACAAAATGTAGATGTGTCTCAAAAAAAAAAAGAAAATTACTTTTTTTTTCGGACTGAAGAAAATTCAAGGATGTGTTGGGTAAGGTTCATGTGATAGATAATTTTAGAATGAATATGTTGCGCTTAAATCTATGTTTTAAGTGCCTTCTCATCCCAATTGAAAAGAATCTGAAATATGTCAAGTGTAGCCTTCAGTTTCGCTATCATAAATTATTGAGGCAATCTAGCAAAGCCAAGAAATAAATCTCGTGAAAAACTACTTGCATAGTGAAAAAGTTTCGATTTTTTTTTTCTTCCTTTCTCTTTGTGGTTCCTCCCTTACTGCACTGTGTACATGTACACACAGTGAACATTTTCATTCATGTTCAAAACGAAACGGAGGAAAAAAATCATATGTTGACTTGCTGATTGAGTATTTATGAATATTGAATGAAATATTAAAAGAGAGAATGATAAGCTCACGTTTTTTCTATGTCAAAATAAAGTTGGTGATGACAATTAGTCTTATTACTCATGTTATACCAATAAAGATAATTTTGTGTGTTATAAATTCATGTGAGAATGTGATAAACATGAACATTCCTGTTCTAGGCATTAAAATAATAATTAGTTGTCAATTGATTGTCGGTCATTTTACGTAGATATTCGGCAGTGTCTTCAAATCTTTGATATTTCGTGAATAATTTCAAAGCATTCAAATGACTAAATCTGGATATGAGCAACAAACTTTCTGCTCTATTTCCAGGTAAAAAAATGAAATTTAAGTGTGACAAGATTTTTGAATACGCAATAAAATTTTTAATGGCTGTTTAAAACCCAGAAAATAAATTCAAAAAATACTAATAGGGTCTTTCACATATTACGTTTATTTTTTGAGAAAGAGGAGCGTCTGAAAATTTTAAAATAAATCGAACAAAAGAATATTTTAAGAAACAAAAGTTTTTATAAAAATTAAAATTTAAAATGTTTTAATTAAAAGGAGAACTTAATAAATGAACCGTCCATACTGGAAACTTACATTGTTTTTACTTCCGAACAATCAATAATGCTCTACATAGTTTTTTTTTTGTTGTAAAGTTAGTGACTGTGCTAAAAGTGTCGTTGGTGCCAAAATCGAATTTTATTGTAGAACAGGTCATGGACAAAGCTTTTAAAACTTAATTTTACAAATTCGTGGAGTCATTACAGGAAAAACGAAGGTTTATACCTTTTATGTTGAGCTAGTCATGCTCATATCAGTGAATATTTGTCATTTTATTACTCAACGTGTCATTATTCAACCTGCTGCTTTTAATTGAAATGCACTTCAAAGTCGGAATCATTATCTCGAGGTTGCAAGACGAATGACTACATTGCTTCATGAGGTGTCATTCTGTTTAACTCAAGAACTCCTGTCGCAAGAAAGACTTTCGATAATTGATATCAATTATTGCGTTTCTAAACTATGGAACTCTCACGAGTAGTTGCCAGCGTGGCATCGAAAAATAAACGGATGATGTCCTGTTAGATCAGTGGTTCTCAAACTATGTTCCGTGTGAATTTCACAGGTGTGCTTAAAAAGTTTCAGCTCGCAAAACACAACAAGGCTTATTAAAAATTGGGGAAAAGGAACAGCCTTCTGAGTTGAAGGCACTGCAGAATTATTGCACCAACCCAAGTTTGAGCATAAACTTTTGAGAATTTAAACTGACTCTTCTAATTCCTCACACCCTCTTTGGGTGACAAGTAAAATGTAGTCAATGACGTTCCTATCTAATCTATAAAAAATTCTAAAATATCTCCAATAAATGCAGCTTATTTTAACACAAAGAAGATGACAATGATTGTTAGTCATTACAAACATGAAGTTGCAATTTTTCAAGTGGCATGTGTGTTGAATTTCAATAACAATAAAATTGTATGCGATAGTCTTTATACACTTTTGTGGTTATTCATTGTTGACGTCAAGTGTTAGGTTTAAGGTACTGTAGCTGATTATTTTGCTGCAGAGATGGGATGATCGTCATTTATAAATGACTGCTTTAAAGAAAAAAATTTTTGCACACAAATAAAATGTTTAAAAGTGTTTGCGACATAAAAACGCCATAGCCATCGCTCATCGCATTGTGACTATTCAATTTATCACACATCCATTGACATTCGATAATAATCCGCTGCGAGAGAATCCATACAAAGTTCTGTGTATAATAATTTGTCGGCAACACTTATTTGTCTGAGTAAATTAAAGAATGGACCTACGCCAATTTTTTTTTAAAAAATAATCTCACATGTACATGTCTGTCTAGAATCATGATGTAAGCTTCCTATTTGTGACATCGCGAATAAACTAAAAATAATTTACATATTTTTGATCATTTCTTTCTCTTATGTTCTTGTCTTTGTTCCTTCTTCTTCTTCAACACGGTTTCCTTTCTTATTTTTGGGGCTAAGAAACACCGAAAAAAAAGGAACAAGAATTGAGATTTTATGATGAATTGCTCGTGCGCGCGATATTATTGTTATTGTACTAGCGATCCTACACGCCTAATATTGAGGACAATATTACTTTTTAATGCTTTGAAATATTTGAAATTAAATTTCTATTTTAATTGATAATTTAAGCACCTTTTTTCATAAAATAGTAGTCTACAGACAGAATATAAAGACAGACAACCAACAAAAACAATATCATCCCATTAAAGATACACAGAAAAATGAGAGAAAATTATATAGAATTAAAGCAAGTGACAGACATAAGTCTGTGAGAGATGTGTGTGAATATAAAATGGAAATTGCACATTATCACAATGTAAATTGAACAACAGATAGCTAAATGAATGTGATATGAGACGATAAAGTGCAAATTGATGAGATGCACTCTTTACGTAATGCTGATGATGACGAAAATGGGAATTAAGATTGATATTAGTGATAGTGAATGGAAATGACATGAATAGCCTTTTCTGATCGAACAGTTGTTAATTGATGACAATTGCATTCAATTTGCTATTCAATAGACTTTTTATTTTACTGATCAATACCCTTCATCGTCAATTGTCCATTTTGTAGTGTCTATTGTAATTCAATTAAAAAAATATTGTAGACATTCTGTTTATTGAAATTTACATAACTTTTTTTTGTTGAGGTAGGTTTTTTTTGCAATTAGGGTCACAATTCTTGTATCTGCTTTTAAATTAGAATTTGATTATTAAAACAAGCATTTAAAAGCAGAGCTCAAAGTCGATGAAATTTTGTATGGAGACGAGTCAACTCTGCCATACAAAATCGATGAAAATCTCTAGTCGACTTTGAGCTCTGGTGTAAAGTCACACTCATCGTGGTACTGAAATTTGTAAATGACAAGGATTGAAATCTTTAATCCTGCAACAGCCAATCAAAATTTATTTTTTTAAAGTCACTCATTCCCGAAAAGCACAAGTCGGTTAATTAATTAGATATCCGGCACAAAGCTAGTGTGACTGGCATGGTGCTGGATTTAAAACGGAGCCAGCACCATGTCAGAATCATGCTGGCTTGTGCCATTCGGGATTTAACATTGCTAGGTTTTTTTAATTAAAAAGAGTTAAAATTGGTGAGATGATGGGTGCTGGATATTTTATCCATTCAATTTCTTCCTTGGTTACAACGTGAGCTGAAGTGGCTATGTGGCGGAATGGTTTAGTATTTCGGTACCTAATTATTGCAATACCGACACAGCGATCGTGGGTTCGAGACTGGGTATGGGAAATTTTTCACTTCTCCTTTTTCGAATCATATGTACTGGAAATGAGACTCACAGCCTTCTTTTGTAGGCTACAGGCAGAAATGTCAGCAAAGGAGTTACGCCGCTGTCAAACTATCTTAGCCATAAAAATTCCCCAAAACCTGTTGTTTATAAGATTTTGTGTGTGCATAAAATTTTAATAGATAATTAAGATCTCAAATTACAAGATTATACATCCAGCTCAATATTCATTCATAGAACTAACATGCGAAGAAATTAATCATCATTTCCTAAGTATCTATTCTCTCATATGCCGCAAATCCAGATCCCCAAAAACAACACAATAGCTATTCATCATTTACTTTTAAAAGAATAATGTTTCTTCTTTCTCAGACGTAAATTGATTAAATTGATTAGTGATAAAACAGTTTGACCTAAGTGACATTTATAGAGCTTCCCCCCAATTAAAAACATATAAAAGACATAAAAAGAAGTCTATTATTATATATTTTTTAACAATCAATTCTCATCATCTCGACGTTTATCTTTTTATTCACATCACATCTGATTTACATCAATTTTGTTTTTTATTGTGTTCAAGTAAAAGGAGAGGAAAAATCTAATTTTATAGCGCCACGGCAAAAACATTTCCTCGTTGTTCAATTAAAAGTCAATAAAAATCACCATGGATTCTATCAGTTGAAGGAACACAGATAAAAATATTGTTTATAATTTTTGTGACACTCGATAGCTGATTTTTTTTACATTTCAAGTATTTGCTTCGCACGAGCTATAAATCGCATATACTAGGTAGCATTTTTTCACTGTTCAATGATAGCAAAATAAAAACAAAGATTAAATATAAAATGTGTGCATGAAGTGCTGTCGTATTTGACTACGACAGTAACTGACTGATGAGATAAAAAAAAGTGATAATTTTTATTTTTCGATACGTAACGTAATCATTATGAGGATAGCAGCAAATGCAGATGTACAGAAGCTGTGAATAAATTTTATTCCTTCTGGTTTTTAAGCTTTTGGGAATCAAACATTGTTCTTCTTTTTTCGTAGACGCAAACTCAGATAGATTTTATAAAATCATATAGGGGGCCATTCACGTATTACGTAACGCTTTTAGGGGGAGGGGGGGGGGGGTCTAAGATTTTGTTACGATTCAAACAAGGAAATTTTTTTTTCATACAAATTTTGTTACGAGGGGGGTGGTCTAAGAAGTCATTTTTTCGCGTTACGTAATAAGTGAACAGCCCCTAAGGGTCATTCACTTATAATGAGTATTATGTACAGGGGAGCGAGGGGAAAGGGGGAAGTGTAAAAAAATATTATAATTTATATATCCTCATAAAAGCATAAGTTACAATTCCTAAAAGTTTTCTTCCTTTTAAATTCACACACTTAATTGAAGAAGACTCTTCCGATGCGTCATAAAACTGATAAAAGAACAAACAAATAGCCAGATAAAGTTACCCTATCTTTCCATTTTTAATCCAATTTCAAGGAAAGCAAACTACATGAAAATATTCTTTTTTAAAAAAAAGTTCACACGTGTAAAATGAAATCGAAGAAAAAATGATCTACCGACTTGTTGAGACCTGAGTGTTTCATGTTTGTGTATATGCGTGGGTTGAGTTTATGGCATGAATGACGAGAAGATTTAATAAAAGTTGACACAAACTCATGTGACATCATGTGATTGCCTTTAATCTAATCTTCTTTCTAGCACTTTCTATCGAATATAAATGCGACTGGATGTCCTTTCTATCTCTTCTGTGCATGAATAGAGCATAAAAAGAGATAAATTGGATTAAAAGTTTTCGTGATACAATGCAAGTTGCTGCTTTCTTGCTCCCAAATTTAGTTTTTCGTATGCTTGTTCCTTGAGTTATTTTCAAGGCGTGAAACCTATCCCAAATATCCCAAAAGTATTCAAAAATAATCCTCGAACTTGTTTGCATTAAAATTGAGATATCCTGTCAAATCCTAAAACTATATCAATATGGTTATTTTTGAATTTGAAATAAGGAGTTGAATAAGTCTGTTGTGCTTTAAATGGAAATTTTTTAAATCTTTTACTTGAAAATTAATTTCATACATTTTAAACTAGCAGATCTGATTCTGATGAAATTAACCTATTAGATTCATTGTCTACATCCATTGATCTATCACAACCAGTAACATATTGCTTGTAAGCAAATTCAGTTTTATGCTTCAACTGCTCATCTATCTTTTTTGTAAGCAATATTTTTTTATAAGCCATAGAATTTACTTAGCAATTTGTCTATTCTATGTCATTCAGCACCATTAGATATCATCATTCCAACAAGATATCTTAAGAACTTTTTTTTTTCTATTTTAAGAAAGATTAAATGTGATGTCATTTCTATTGATTTGCTAATCTTACGTCATGATCTCGACCTTTAGTTTTCTGTTTGATTGGTTTTCGTCATGAACGTGTGTGCTGTAAATGAATGAATTTGTGCTAGTTGACATTTCGACCTTGATATTAGATTTTATCGCTTGACTTTTAATTCTCGATATAGAATTGCTTAGTTAATTTATAGAATTTAATTATTGGGATCGTGTGAAGGTTGGACTCGCAATTTTAAAATTTTTTGAGGTTATTGTGAATTTTTATGAGAGGTCGTTCACTTACGTCAACCATTTTAGACACTTCCCACTTATCCCATTTATCTTAAAATGTTAATACATAATAATTTATCATGATAGATCTTGACGTTTTCCAAAATCTTAGTTCTAACCTCCCACAACTTCCCTCAATGATGGATAAAACAACGACAATAAGTTAATGCTCTCCTTAACATCTTTATCTTATAAATGACGTAATTTGATTCAATTTTCATTTTCATTTTCATTACTTCAGTTGCTTGACTCTTCTGACGTAAAACAATTGAATTTATTTGATTTAATTAAAAATGAATAAAATCATCAAAGAAGCAAATCTAGAAAATTTGACTGTCGTCAGAATAATTAATTACAAACGTATCATCTTCCCACTTGATTCCGCATTTTTAAAAATAAAACTGTCTCATTTGCTGAAAACATTGCTAGCACAGCTGTTTTTGAGACCTTCAAAGAATAAAGTAAAATTTTTTGCAAGCCTATATGACGCCAGTTACTTGTTATTATTATTTTCCTCGTTGTAACCTGATATTTCTGTATACATGCAAACAAACAACTAATTTGCTTCCTCTAATCTGTTAAAACTTTAAATGCGCTGTTTCAAGATGGTTTTTTGATAGAAAATATCTCATCTCATTTGTTCGTTATACTTATGAGAGCTTTTTTTGTATACAAATGGCAGAAACATGATAGCATATTGTGCATTCTTTTCATTCTGATTCTCTATTCGAGTATGCAATAATAAAAGCAAATAAAACCACACATCCACACAAAGAATATTGTAACAAATGAGTTTTTTTTTTGTGAATTATTGGAGCGCATTGCGAGCTTTTCATTGATTAAAGTTTGATTTTTAAGGTTCATGTGCTATGATTTTTGGTAAGCACTGAGTCATATTTGAAATGTCTTGAGATTCTAAAATTTCGAGGAAACTAAAAAGAGATTTTTCAGTGCACGCATATTGATAAAATATGATAACCCGAATAGCGCAAGTCGGTTAATCGAAATAAAATCTGACACCAAGAAAGTGCGATTCTGTCATGATGCTGGGCTTAAATTGAATCGAGCACCATGACAGAGTTACACCAGCTTAGTGTTGCATTTCTATTCAATCAACCGACTTGTGCTATTCGAGGAACTATTTCAATTTAATAGATTCTACTCAAGAGTTTGTCATTAAAATTGAACTTATGGCAGTAAATAAAGTTATTAATTAAAGATTTGTGATGCGAATATTCCTTAAAATCGAATTCAATCATGCAGACAAAATGAAGTCTAAAACAAGCTGTCGTTCTTTTCAAAAATCATACAAAATGTCATAGATGACGTTCATTCAAAAAGGAGCATAAAGAGACTGAAACTTTTTCATAGTTGCAATTTATTTTCTCTTCCACTATTTTTTCCATTTCCATCCTGTTTATATGTTTCAACTCATAAATGAATGTCTTTCATTATTTTTTTCTTTATTTTTCCATTCCAGCTCGTTTTTCATCGAAGCCGTAGCATACTCTTAGTGTCGTCATTGTTAATACTGTTTGGAATAATGCATATTGCAAAAATAGAAAGAATGAAGTGAAGAAGGAAGAGGAAAAAGTGAAAAATCCAGCAGGAAAAAGTTCACAAAAATATATATTAAATAAAAAATACATAAAATAAAGTGCATGTGGAGAAGTGAAATTCAATTTTATTTATGTACGAGTCACTAGCAATAAGTTTAACCTGCTTGAAATATTAAAAAAAAAAAGGAAAACGTTCCATCACAAAATAAAGAATACAGACGTAGAGACTTAGTTATTTAATCGATATATACATATAGCTAGTTAGTGAACACAAAGACACGTTAAAAAAGTGAAAAAAAAAATATAAAAATAAAAAACTTAAAATAATGTCTGGTGGAAAAGAAAAAAAGTCTATACGCGGGAGTAAAGCACAAGGCTGGGAGGAAGCTGGATCAGAATTTTATCAAGAGAGTTATCCTGGAGATATCGATAATATTCAACGTGATCCATCAAAACTTGCAACTTTACTGCCATCAAAACAGCGTGTTGGTAAGTTTTCCTGCTCCTCAATTTGTTTATATAAACATGTGTCATAAAAGTATTATGGGTGTGTGAAGCTCCATTTAGGGGTAATAAATATGACGAGTCTTTGATACATTCTGATTATTAATAATTCTAATTATAAATCGATGTCCATTAATCCGAAAAATTTACAACGATGGCAATGGGTTTGGCTTTATTTGTTCACAAACACTTTTTTCGTCCTATTTCTATTCTGTTTGCTATCCAATTTGTGACAATGAAGAAATAGTTAAAAATATATACATAGTGCTAAAAGATTTCTGTGTCTTGTCTGTCATACAAAAGTGATTGCTTTTGTTTGATAACATATCAAATATTGAAAGAACTGAGCACATTTCAAACAGTTAAAAAAGATTTAAGGATAGACAGTGAATTATTTAAATAATTTTAGTCGTGTGCTGAATTTTGTTTGATTAAAACATAAGAAAGTTAAGTTTAAGATTGAAACAAACGTTTCCGATTCTGTCGAGAATTTTTTAAAAACGTGACTTTCCTTAATTGCATCAACAATGGCATGAAAGTTGACAATAGTTAATTATTTCACGTATTTTTATTCTTTAAAGGCTTTGTTTTGTTGAAATGAGAAAAGTTTTTAAAGCTCTATAAAATTAGGATTTAAAGCTTTTATGAAGTTAAGATCCCACATAAAAAAAGCAATGGTTTTAAATAGTGTTAAAGAACATCCATAATTTTTATCAGTGCAACCCATCACGACTTATGACTTAATTTTAAAAATTATTAATAATTTAATTCGGCCTTGAAATGAATAGTGATCCCTACGATGAAATTTAGGGAACTTTATATTATTATAAAAATTAATCACAAAAAATGAGTCAAACTGTAGGTTTGGCAGTTTTGATGAGTCAGACATAAAAGCACATTCATTTGTTTTCCACAAAATGAATCAATTTTTAAGACATAAAACTAAAAAGCATTTTCGTATCAAGTGGCATTGAAATTCCATTAATATACATTTTTACATTCCACAACAGTAATGCTCAAAAAATAAAAAGTAAGAAAAAAGCTCGATTCAAGCAGTTTTAAAAGTTTTTATTCCGACGATATTCATTTCATTTCCATTATGGCATAGATAAATTTAATATTCTGTATGTTTTCATTCTCTCATACTTTTTTATAGCCACAAATCGGCGCGGTCGGCAAACACATCAGGAGTTTAAGACAACACGTCGTAGAAATAGTACACTGACAGCAACGAGAACGTTTCGACGTGGCTCACAATATCAAGAGATACAAGTAGCAACGCTGCCTGATTTGTCGGAAAATTTAATCAATGAAAGTCAAACGTGGGAGGAAATTCGCGAAATTAAAGCGATGCCGGTTCATATGGCACAGAAACGTGAACTTAAGAATCAATTACAGGTGAGTTTGTGTTTATGATTGCGACTCAGAAGCAGACAATACAGGCACTTATTAAAAGCATACTGCATTTATTGCAATATAAATCATTAACTCGTTGTTGTTGAAGTCTCATGGGAATGACTATGATAATAATTATAGCATAAAGTAATAAGTTTCATTTCAATGAATATTTTGTTACAATAAATTTTGAGAATAAAAAGCTCTCGCTGCTCGTTTTTTAATTGGCAACGGAAATCTGCATTTAAGCGCTTTTCATTGCATTTAAATGAAGAGGATTTTTTTTTGTATGAGTGCTCTTTTTTGTCTACTCTACTCTATGGGAATTCCAACACGATATGAATACATAATGGATAGAAAAAAAGAATCTTCATTAATTGTGAATGTTACCAGTTGTGTTGGAAATGGGAAACAAAAAATGTTCGTAAGCTGTGCCTGCCTATCAGAGCATCACAAAAAAAAAATGAAAACTATAATGATAATTATGATAAAAAGAGAACAACAATAATAGTTGAAAATTGTTCTATAAATTGGAAGCTTTGACGCATATTTTTTTAAGTTAAGATTATTTTAAATGGAACCAGTTTGGGAATAGACGATGCAACTATGCAAGATTTTATTAATTTAATTTAAAGGACTCTTTCTAATAAATTAGAGAAAAAATATTAAAATTATATAAATTTAAAAAATGTCTTTTCATGAACCACTAAAAGTGTAAAAAAGTGTAACATAGTTGTAAAAAAAGTATCAAGTCATACAAAGTTATTATTGTTATTCAAAGAGTTCATGCCTCGTTACCAATATGTTGACAACAGTTCTACATTGTTTATTGTCATTTCTACTCATTAATTAAAAGTGCAACAACAAAATTTTCATTTTCCTACAATTGCTATTCATTATTTTTTTAATTTTCTTTTGTTTTATTAAATTAGTTTAGTTTATAAGTTGAGGTTAATATTTAAAGAGTGCAAAAATATTTGAGTACTTGCAGGGAGGTTAAAGTTTGCTAAGGAATTTCTCTAGAGGTTTTTTCGGAAGACATTATTTTTTGAAAGTTTAACAAGCTCAAGATATTAGAGTATAATGATGAATTTTGAACAGATTTATGGACAGTCATTAACTTTACGTTCTAGCCAGACACTTTCAAACATGACTTAGAAACGGATCTTCTTAAATAAACTTGAGCATCAAAAAATTTATCAAATTTGTTTTACTACAATTAAAAGACTTTGAACTAGCAACGAAATTCCTTTCTTTGAATCTGTAGAACACATGCAAGAACAATCCTGAAAACTAAGCGGCAAAGCAAACAAAAACCACGAATATAAATTATAGCAAAAATTCTCATAAATTGTGAGAAAAATATCGATTAAAATAAAAAATTTATGCATTTTAACAAGCAAAACTAGTGACGACAATGAGAATGCAGTTAAGCATTTTACTTCTCATACTTCCTGTAAACTTTGTAGTTTCACAATATCTACCGCTTGCCGTATTTTCTCATTTTTTTTCTTCTTTTCTTTTCCTATTTGTCGATTATTTCCTCAGTCTGAATCATTTTTTCACTCAGTGTTCATTTACATTTCTTCTTTACTCTGCATTTTGTTTGTTTTCAATACAATCAGCACGTGCATAGTAAGACTCGAAGTGTGTACTTATCGAACAGTTAAATACAAAAAAAAAATCTGTGAGTGATGTAGTTCAATGTGATTATTTACTTTAAAGAGAGGCAGAGAGAAATAAAATTATTTGTGTTTTGCACACAGAAAAATAAATTTTGTGCACCTTATTTTTATTTCTTTTCATTTCTCGTATTTTCTCGTTGACGTTGCGGCACTTGTGGTTTCGAAATATTTTTAGCGCAAATTTTTTCGCGAATTGTTTGCTTTATCGTTATGTGTGGAAGGATTGGTTTATTATTTGGAAAATTGTCGATGACAGTTTTGCTGGGTTTGGCTATTGAGAATATCGTGACCTTCAATTCTGCTTTTTAATCAAGATTCTTTTTTGTCTTTATGTCCTGTAACTGTATATCCTGAATTTTTCAAACAAAAGCAGTACAAAAATTACCCTTATATGAAATCGCATTTAAGCACATTTTGTTCAACATGGATCCTGAATTTAAGGACTAACTCCGGAATTTTTGAACAATTTTTGACTCAATATTGCGCCTAATTCATTTTTCAATCACGAACTTTACTTAACAACTTGTAGTTCTCTCATATATTTCTTCATGCAATTAATTATAATTTTTCTTGCGACGATGAGGTTAAAAAAATAAATGATTTAAGAATGTAAATAGTTGGACGATTTGGGCATTGAAGGAACTTTTTCGACAATTAATTAGATTTACACTCAAAACTTTGTTGGAAAATGAATGATCATCTCTTTGAAGAGGGGAAATGTAATTAATTTTAAATTAAAATTTAAATAGAAAGTAAAATTTTAGAATAATTAACTGTATGTGCTGAAACTTATGACAGATTATCATTAGTATTTCATGTAAATTTTTAAAGTGTGGTTGTTGCTCATGTATTTAAACTACAATGTAAGGTATGATTAATAACAAAGGGAATTCTTCTTTGAGTCTACAAGAAATGACTTTATCAGTTTTATCATTGATTTTTTCAACCACAAATGAGCGTGTATACCTCAAACAGTTATTTTTATAATTTTAAGTTAAGAGTTATTTTGAGTCAAAAGCTGTTTTGAGATAGTTTACTTCTGTCTTATACTTGATGAAATCGGGGTTCATAGCATAAATAATTTAAAACGGATTAAGAAAAATTGTATGAGTATAAAAATTCAAAGATCAACCAAAATCTTTCAATAGGACTCAAAACAAATATTGAAGCTAAAACTCATCACATCAAAAATGAAATGCAGTTGTCAATCACACAACGCTAAATAAACTTGAGGCTCATTTTTCAATTCTTTTCATTCATCAATTATACAACTTGTGACGCTAAAGTGAAACAAATGTTTAATTAAACAATATCCGATATTGACAGACACCTGACTTTGTTCAATTAAATCAAGAGTTTCAACAAGTGTTTGATAATTTTCGATTAAATAAACTAAAGACCCTTGATATTAATCTAGTATTTTCAAGTTTGTGTGATTCATATTTACATCATCATCGAGTTCTTAATATGATAAATTTCAAATATCTTAAATAAAGCTTTTAAAGAAGATTCTCTCAAATTTATGTTAAACTTCTCGTCAAAACATACCAAACTGACGAAGAAAAATCATCGCCCAGCTTTTTACATTTATCAAGTCGAAGGACTTATTTTCTCCGCTTTGAACTACAAAAAAAACTCATTTGTAAATTATACTCGTGAGATTATCTCACACGAAATATTTAAGATATTTTCTTTGCGTAAGCTAAAAAAAGATACGATTATTATAGTTGATACATCCATATGGCTTATTATGTCGTTTGTTTAAAATTGATGAGCATTAAAATAAACATTATCTCACAAATTTTCATTTTAGTCTATCGTAAAAAATATTTGTCGGAGGTATTTGATCTACAAAAAATAAATCTAGTTCAGTCTGAGAGAGAATGTTCAGTCAAAATCATTTGTGACTCCTTCATTTTCATTCATTAAAATTTTGTGTAAATTTAATGAGAAAGTTGAGATGCACTTAGTTCATTCAAGTGGTTGCTAGTGTGAAGAATTAGATTTAATTACTAAATTAAGATTTCCGCTGTTTTATTTGTAAAAAATCAAATAATTTTAACTTTATGTAAACAATCGCAGAATCGCCAGAATTACACTTTGAAGTTTTTATTTTGAAAAGAAATTATTGCTACTAAAATTGAGCAGGTAACGTCAAATGTCTGTAGTTTATGAGAGTAATGAGTTTTAGGGCTATAGACTTTAATAAAAGTTTTGTGGCAAAATACTGAATATTTATGCTGCAAGATTTTAATGTGAAAATGCTTCCTTATTGGCACTATTGTTGCTTATACTCATTTCTTCAATCTATTGTCTAAAATTAGCTTGATTTATCTAACATCTTTTGTCAAGATGGTGCTTTAAATAATGTTTAAGGTATTTCAAAACTTATGACATAATTTCCACATGCTCATTATCCATGCATCTTACATCAATTACTCAAGGGGATCGCAATTATAATATCGTAAAGCTTAGAATCGTCAATTACTTAATACTCTTATAAACACTTAAAACAGCAAGAAAGAAAGAGAAAAAGAACAAAAAAAATCTTTCAGACGCTCATTAACATTCAATAATTGATGTATGTATGTTTAAAGTGTGTCATTGCACCATCGTCCCGGCATTTAAGAAAAAAAATAATTAACAGAAAGAAAATTAAAGTCGAGAAAGAAAATAATTGCAAGAGCATCAACAATACTTGAGCGAAAGAGAGCAGTGGTAGAAATAAATTTTATTTTTCTGATTTTGTTAGTCATTGCCAAGATGACGCTTATAGTGGTGCCTGTCGGTTCGAAAAATTTACAAAAATAAAATTAAACTAATTTAATATTTTTTATTTTTCGTTAATGTCGTTTTAGAATGCAACAAAATTACGATTGCAAGGCTTTGAGCAGATTAAATGGAAGAGACGGAAAGCGTGGCAGAAGATAATGAGAAAATGGAGTGAATATCTCACAAAAATGGAATTGTGGCGATCGTCATTAAAGAAAATCGAGGGAAATTTCGGCACCGGAGTTGTTGCATATTTTGTATTTCTACGGTGGCTGATGGTCCTCAATCTTCTCATCTTTACAATCATTTTCATGTTTATTGTACTGCCTCAGCTCATATTGAATGAGCCAAAAGATTTACCATGTGATCTCAATGCACAACCCGAACTCAAACCCCGATGGATATCAAATGTCAATAATTCAGATAATGGATATTATGAGGATACATGGTACTATCCTAATACGACAGTCCAGTGTTGTCGTGAGGCATACAATAATGAGATTAAGCATAATCGAAGTGATTTTTCAATATTACATATTGTACAAGGTACAGGATTTATGGAAAAGACATTTCTATTTTATGGAATGTATACAAATCAAATTTATGGATATGATCCATTAGCTAATAGTCAACAAGAACAAGATAAGACAAATAAGTTAAGTAGCAGTAGTAGTGATGTGCAACATAATTCCCCATTTATGTATAGTCAAAAAGACGATAATTTCTCAATCGATGAGAAGCATAATTCATCTTCGGTAATGATGAGTGCTTTGCTGGGATTTAATGACAATAGTACTAGTACATTAGCAGCAGATCTCACAAATTTTACAACATGGCGTGAATTTTTTAACAATCTGGATATTTATTACGATTTACCGCTCGCATACATAATCGTTACGATAGTTTGCTATCTTTACACGCTCGTTGCAATCGTTAAAGCTGTTGCGCATGAATTTAAGGATCGTCTTGTGGAGGGCGAAGGGCAGTTTTATCAATATTGTAATTTGATATTTTGTGGATGGGATTTTAGTTTGCATAATGAAAAATCAGCACAAATTAAGCATAAGGCACTATATAATGAAATACAAAGTTTAATGCACATAAGACGATACGAATTCGAGAGAAATAATCGAACAAGAGATATCATGATTAAGCTATATCTTATACGTATGTTAATTAATTTCTTCGTATGTGTTATTCTTGTGATTTGTGGTGTAGTCATATTCTTCCTATTCAACGTGTCATTCATGCGTCTGGAGCCGAATTTCGAGACAGTCACTCGATATCGTAGTTTTAATGTTTTCATGAGTAAAGTAAAGAAATTGACATCTGGTGAAGAGACAACAACTGATGTTGATGCACAATTTGATATATTATTCTTCGAATTCCTACCATACGTAGCTATTGTCATCTTTAACTTACTCGTGCCAATCTTATTCAACTATCTTATACAATTTGAACAATACTCGCCACTTTTCGTCATTAAAATGAATCTATTTCGTACTATTGGACTACGTTTGAGTTCATTGGCTGTATTGCTTAGCCGATTCTATTATCTCATCACAACACGAAATGAAGATTCTGAAAACATTGAATGTCATAATGTACGCTACGGTACACCTCAATGCTGGGAGACTTTTATTGGACAGCAGTTCTTTAAATTGTTCATTGTTGACTTCGTAACGCACATCTTCGTGACATTCTTTATAAATTTCCCGCGAGCACTTATTGCACGTAATATGAACAATGCATTTTCGAAATTTATCGAAATAGATTTTGAGCTTTCAAAACATGTACTGGATGTTGTATATTCGCAAACTCTCTGCTGGCTTGGAACATTCTATGCGCCATTTCTGCCTGCCATTGCTGCTGTACTCATATTCTTCATGTTCTATATAAAGAAATTTGCGTGCCTGGTTAACTCAAAGCCATCAGCCATACTGTATAGAGCTAGTAGATCAAATTCACTATTTATGATAATTCTTCTATTTAGTTTTACAATCGCAATAATTCCCGTAGTTTATGCAATTGCTGAAGTTATTCCATCGAGAAGTTGTGGACCATTTAGTGGACTCAATTCCGTTTGGGAGCGTGCCATAGTTGCATTCAATAAATTACCAGTTGTGTTACGTGACATTATCTTCTTCTTCGGAACATCATCATTTGCCATTCCATGTTTTATTGTATTAATCCTCTTCCTATACTATTATTATTCTGTATCGGCAGCTAACAAGCACATGGTTCAAGTACTCAAGAATCAGCTTGTTCTTGAAGGACATGATAAACAATTTCTACTCAATCGACTTAGTTTGTTTATTAAGCAACAACAAGAATATCAGAAGCGAATACAAAGACAATTTTATGATCAAGCGAGTACGACAACTAATTCACAGCAGTCACAATCGCAAGGTATTAATATTGACACGATACCACCACCGCTTTTACCGCGTGCACCACGCAGTGAAACTGGAAGTAACGATCGTAGTGAACGATCATCTGTTGAGATTAAACATCATACAAGAATGTCCAAGGATATTGGTGATATATAAAAATTAAGGCAAATTAATGATAATAAATTAAGTTAAGATGGTGAAAAATAAGTTTACATTTGTAGATTTTGTCATGGGTTTAATTGATGTTTTCATGATGATTCCATAAAAAATGCAGCTTAAACTTTTTAATTAAAATAATATTAAATTTTAAAATTGTGTGTTTAAAGAAATCACTAAAAAGGCATCTAGGAAACAATTTTTAAGAAAAAAAAGGTCCCACACAAAGAAAAGTGATATTTCATTTAGTTTTTTTAGTACATAAATGGAATTATTTTTTTTTGTGCTTGTGTATTTATCGTCCTTAGTTGTTTAAGACTAGTTTACGGATAAAAAAGAACGAAATGGAGAGATTTTATTTTCATATGAAGAAAAAGAGATTTTATTGATTAAAGAATGTGTTGATTCATGCCAGAAATTTATTTGATTATTGATTGATTAAAGTTTATTAAATGGTAGGATATGTAGGGATTACAAACGTCACTATGTTGCAGGCTTTTCATTTTAAAATGCATATTCATTATCACCTATTAAAATGCAGATGTTACGAGAAAATTACAGCTTAATTCAAAAATTTTGCACAAATGTAAACTTTCTGATTAGGGGCTGTTCACTTATTACGTAACGCGAAAAAATGACTTTTTAGACCCCCCCCCCCTCGTAACAAAATTTGTATGAAAAAAAAATTTCCTTGTTTGAACCGTAACAAAATCTTAGACCCCCCTCCCCCCCCTAAAAGCGTTACGTAATAAGTGAATGGCCCCTTATCTATTTTGAGAATTTGGATTCGTTTCCTGAAATTTAATTAAAAACTCAAATTTTATTGTTTTCTTTTCCTTCTTCAATAAACACACTTATAAATTGAGTGTCCTGATACAGAAATAATTACCCAAATTTCCTTGTTCCAATTCTAACCAAACAAGCAAAAATCCTGCAACTTAAATATTAGTGACGCAACTGAACTTATGTAAATAGCGTTAAAAGATTGATCTATCTTTTTAAAAAAGTTTCAGACAGAAACTTGACATGTAAATCTTAATAATAGGAAAAGATCGAAGTTTATTATCCAAAAGACAGTTAGCATCTTCACTGTTCACCTTTAATGATAGGTTTTATAAAAACATTGTCTATTTACTGAAGTTAAATAAATCCCACAAAAATTTTCAATCCTATGAAAATTAAAATTCCTTTAAAAATTTCTGAATGTCCCTCTGTTATTAAGATGAGGAAGCTAGTATTCTTTTAGGAATGAATGTTGAAGATAAAAACCATAAAAGAGATGTTTTGAATATAAGTCATATGAAATATGTTGATGAGCAGATATTTAAGCTCAAAAAATTTTTTTTTGTTCTTGACTGTATCCATCCTTTAAAAGTCACTATTTGATTAAGATACAATACAATTAAAAACAAATACTTTTAAATTATGTGCAAAAATTATGTAATTAAAAGAATTGATTTGATTTTTAAATATAGATTATCAGTTTGGGCAATATTAAAGAAAACATTAAAGATCTTTTGTTGCAGAAAAATAATTCAACAAGTTTATAAATTAATAGAACAAAATTTACAACTAAATTCGGTTATTTCATTAATTAAAAAATTACTTAAATTGCTCCCAAGCAAAATGATTTGTAAAGAGTTTTCGTTGATTCAAATACTCCAAATTTAATCAAATTATATATGAGTATTTTTCATTCATACCCTTTATTAACATGAAGATTTCAAAAATACATCACATGTGTTATAAATATGTTCATCCTCAAATTTTAAAGCTATGCTTGTTTTACGTTAAATTAATTCTCCTCTCATAATACAAATCCGGAGTATTTTCAGTAAAGCTCTCAGTTCCGTCGTCAGTTTTGTTCACAATTTTCGACACAATTTGTTTAAAAACTATGAATGGTTAAACATCTATTCGTAAAAGTATACTGGATTGAATATCATTTAAACAAACAAAAATTTGAGGATTTATTAAGGAATATTCACATGTAATTTAATTATTTGTCCTTGAAAAAGACGAGGCATTATTGAAATTAGTCACAAAATCAAACAATTGAGTCGTAATTTAATTATAAATCCACACATAAATAATAATTTATATCACAATGTTCAACCCCCAAAGAAAATATCCTACACATCATCACACTCGCGAATGATTGATAATAAATTAAGTAATTAAGTAAAATCATGGTCTCACTAATTAAAGAAAACAATTAGTTAAATTATCCCACATAACTTACATAAAAGTATCCCAAAAACACACATAATTGTGAAATTATTATGTCCAAAAAGTTAAACTAAAAGTATCTTACCTTAGTCAAAATATCAACAAAACACAATTCTCTATAGATTTAATCGCAAAATGGAAGAAAAATTAAATCACCTATTTAAGTATCGATCATTATCATTCTTCAATAAATTTATTAATTATATCTAATCTTAAATCAACTCACTCAACACGCATCAAAATAATGATTGTCTTATAAAAATGGGGAGTATTGTTGGATTTATGGATGGAGTCAGCCACGAGCGATCCAATTTATCACACATCTATAAATTGTTGGTAATTAAATGTGATTTTAAATTGAAATTTAATTTTTCATAAATCTTGCAAGCAACTCCTCACAGGATAAATCAAATCGAATAAAAATACAATAAATGAAAAATGATATTCAAAGTAATAATCTCCTACATAATATGACAATTGCTATCTCTTATAAATACATAATTATAGTGAAGAAACAGTTCATTTTTTGTAAAAATGGTGAATATTGAATGAAATAGTTTGAAGAAATAGTCAAAGGAAAATAATCATTTTGTCGCTCAAATTTTAATGTATAAATTATAAACAAATTCAAAAATGAAATAACATAATTCTTTCTTAAAAGAAGTAAAACAAATCCATGCGTTTTTGTGAAAAAAAAAATTAAATGAAAAAATGAAAAATAAAGAAAAAAAATCATTTTATAATGCATAATGGTTTGATGTTCTTTTAAATTAGTTCTAATTATCTTTTACTAGCTTAAAATACTATTTTTAATGATTTTAGGTAGTTTTTTTTTGATATTTTCTTAACGGGTAAATATAATTCAAACTAAAGCTCTTAAAAGCTTTCAAACTTTGTACTAGATTTTTATCAATCATCCCTCAAAATTCAATTTTCCTTATTGCAATCCCAAAGAAAAATCTTTTGTAATCTTTACATTCTATTTAGCAATTTACTTCCTTTTAAATTTAAATTTTGCTTGCAGGCACAGTATAAAAAGGGGAGAAACAATAATTTTGTAAGTAAATTTCATGATGTAATTATGAACTAAGAAAGTAACAATTCTTATTGTTTTTAATGCTCAAGGAATTGAAATCACAAATGTAATGAACAAATATTTATTCACTGAATTATAAATCCATAAAATGTTGATTCATTGTTAAATAATTGTTTGTATTTTGATGCTAATGATGACATAAGGATACAGTTTAAAATATATTTTTTGCGATCGTATATATATATTGTGACTTCAGGCTTTATTGTGAAATCAGGAATTTATAAAGTCAAAGAACAATTAAGTTAATTTAAATGAAGTCTTTGTCTTATAACAGTGACCTTCATTTGGAATGGTATCGTTATAAATACCACAAAATATTTCAGCTTTCAATTCGCAAAGTCAGCATCGATGATATCTAATCAGAATTTAAAAACTCAATCAAACCACTTAAATATTCTCATAATGACTCATTCCAACCCCATAAAAAAATCACGAAATTTTCCTTCCGTCAATCAATTAAATTCTCATCGAAAATAATTGCCCGAAAAAGGCAAAAGAAAAAAAAATTTTGACAGACATTTTCACGTTATCACGGCTAAGCATGGACATGAATTTCCTGTTAAACAATTCTATCGTCATTCGTCCCCAAAGACTATTTCATCATTTGACATGAGACATGCACGCATTATCAGTATATTGAATAAAACTTTTGTTTATTGCGTGCCCTCATTACGTTAATCTTTTATTTTCTTTTCCCCCTTAGTCGTATGTATATTAATACTCACATACAATGTAAGTAGAGTAGTGGTGAAATGTCTCGAGAAAAACACACAACATGCAACTACACTTGCTGTAAATCTCAGAAGGAACACAGGAGAAAAATATTATGATTTATTGAGAGATTGTTAATGAAGTTATGGAAGTTTTATGCACTTTATCTTCACTTGCTTATCATCCATAATACAATTTTATATAATTTATGCGTTTTTCTAATTGAATTTTTTTTTGTTTATTCTTTTGAGGAACGAGGAAAAGAAAATTGATGAATGAAGATGTAAATGGAATGTTTTACGTGTCTTGGGACTGAGATAATGGCTTTGAAAAATTTATTCAAAAAACGACAAATAATTTGGAAATATTTCATCTTTGAGGAAGTGCAAAAAAATTTTTTAAAGGCTTACCAAAGTTTCTGGCAATTTCAAAGCAACTTCATCCATGTCATTTTCAATTTTCTTCACATTTCTTGTTGGTTTCACATGTCTTTTATCACTCAATAATCGCTCAATCCACACAAATGGCATTTCCACGCTGGCATTTAAGATCAATGATATTACCACACATATTAAAATATCACCAAGTGCAGTATGAAAGACATCCCATGAGTAGAAATAATATGGTTCTTTCATGTCAAATGTCGTAGTATGCTGATAAACTGGATAGACGATTTGAAGTGTTAAGCTTATCTTTGCAATCGGACGCCATGCTGATGAATTTATGATTCCATCAAACCAATCACCTTCTTTTAAATTGTAGCAATAGAAAATCATCCAACATATTCCAACTGACCAAAATATGCGATGGAATGAAGCAAATATTGCGCTTGCAACCACATCATTTCCTGCGATATTATAGTTTTGGAGCAAATATACAAAGATGAGCAGCAAAATCAAAACTAAGAAGGCTACAATAGAGTTGAGAATCCGGAACTTCTGTAAATTGAAAATTTGTTAATAACTGGGCAGATAAAGATATAAAATCTGCTTTAATCTTACCTTCTTCACAGTATATTCTTCTTTCAAACAAAAAGAAGCTAATACTATTGATAACAACCATGGAGCACATCGGAAGTATGAATGCATGTCATAAATTGATGATCTAATAAAAAAATAATTGATTAATCAATGTCATTAGAAACTATTTGTTCCATTATCATACCTGTTCAAGACATCATACGATGTGTTTGAATAGATAAGTGCACTAAACATTGCGATATAAGAAGTAGCCACGAGAACACCAAGTATAATGAAACCAATTTTTCTAGACTTGTAGCAGATATAAACCAACAGCGGTAATATGAGAAAGAATTGAAAATCAATGCTGAAGTACCATCCATGATAGACACACTGAAATTATTAAACAGAAGGAAACATTA